GTCTTGAGAACACGACAGGGCAGTTCTACTCTGTCCTATACGGCTGCTATGGGTTGGAACTGACCCCACAGCAATGGGATTGGTAATAGATGGGCAAACTAACTGTGCATGCTATGGTCTACATCATTTTCCCCACTCTTTTAAAAATTATCTTGTTGTGCCATTTAAGTGTCATACCACTGCATGGCCCAGCTTCATTTTATTACAAAACATAAACTACACACTTCTATATCTAATGCTTGCACTTCTGATGTGGCACTGTGGATTAGCACTGGACTGCAAACCACAAGGTCAGCAGTTCAAACCCACATGCTGCTCCTCAAAAACCTTATACAGGGTTGCTATGAGTCAGAACCGACTCAATGACACTTAACAACAACAACATAGCTAACCTTTGTAATCTTGGTGTGGCAGTGTAGGGTAAGCACTGGATTGTTAACCACAAGGTAGGCAGTTCAAACATATCAGGCGCCCCTCAGAAACCCTATATAGAGAGGCCATGAGTCAGAACTGACCCAATCACACTAACAACAACAAAAGTGCTATTTCTGCTGTTAGGTACTGTCGAGTCAGTTCCAACTCATAGCAGCCCTACACACAAGAGAACAAAACACTGCGCAGTCCTGCACCATCCTTACAATTGTTACGTTTGAGCCCATTGCTCCTGTCACTGTGTCAGTCCATCTCAGTAGAGTCTTCCTCTTCTTGATTGATCCACCACTTCACCAAGCATGATGCCCTTGGTCAGGGACAGGTCCCTTCTAATAACATATCCGAAATATGAGAGACAAAGTCTCACCATCCTGGGTTCCAAGGAGCTTTCTGACTATAATTCCTCCAATACAGATGTGTTTGCTCTTCTGGCCATCTGTGGCACTTTTAATATTCTTTGCCAATACTATAATTCAAATGTATTAATTCTTCTACAGTCTTCCTTATTCACTGTCCAACTTTCACAGGCTTGAGGTAATTGAAAATGCATAGTTATCCCTTATATTATTCATTTCATGCCATTTAATCCATAAAATGCTGAGGTGACTAGACCATAAATCCGACTTACTAGTTAATCATAGTTCTAAAAGGGAGGGACACGATAACAATTCTGTTTATTGGGATCTAAAAGGGAGGGACACGATAACAATTCTGTTTATAGTGACTCCAGCCATCGCTGTGTAACAAGCCCACTCATACACACATTTCCCAATGAAAATAAAACAAGGTTTTCTATAATCAGTTTATAACTAGGATCTTATCAGGAGGGACCACTCACTGAAGAAGGGCATTCTTGGTCAAGTCGAGGGTCAGCAAAAAAGAATTGATTCTGTGGCTACAAGAAGGGTTCAAACACAGCAACATTGACTGGATGGCACAGAAATAGGTAATGATGGTTTTTCTTCTTTCATACATAAGGTCACTATGAGTCAAAACTGGCTCAAAACAGAAATTGCAAAGAATACTGACTATCAGAAAAATTAACAAATCTGTGGAATGTCAGAAAAATGAACAAATAAACAAACTTGTCTTGAAGAAAAACACTCCTTAGAGAAAACATGGTTAAGACTATGTTTCTCATGAACTTTGGACTTCTCATCAGAATGGACCAGGACCAGAAAAAGCACATCAAGAGATAAAAAGGAAGACCCACAATGGGATGGACTGATACAGTGGCTACCAGAAGGGGCTCAAGCATAACAACAATGTGAAAATGGCCCAGAAATGGGCAGTGTTTCATTCTTTGGTACATAAGGTCACTATGAGTCTATATTGGCTCAATGGCATCTAACAACAATATCTTAGGTGTCTGAACAAATCAATCTTTCACCTTAATAAAAATTTCAAAACAGAATCTACTAAATTCCCACTATGCTTTATTACCACTATCTGTCTGTCAGTTTGTCATACTGTGATACCATGTTGTTATGATGTTGGAATCTTCTTGTTAAGTTCCAGTGAGTCACTTCCATATCATAGCAACCCCATATTCTGAGGCTGTAAATATGTACGAGAGCAAAAAACTCATCTTTCTCAATAGGAGTAACTGTTGGGCTCAAACCACGGACCTTGTGATTCTCAGTCCAGTGCCTATCCTACAGAGACACTGAACAGGGTAACCCAAAGTGTACAGAGAAGCTTCCAGATTAAAAAAGACTAAAAAAAAAAGGCCTGGAAATATCCTTCTAAAACTTAGCCATTTAAAACCCTATGGATCGCAATGAAATATTGTCTACTACAGTGTTGTAAGACAATCACCTAGGCTGGAAGACACTTCATATACACAGTGGCTACAACAGGAAACTCAAGCATACCAACAACTGTATAAATGGCCCAGGATCAGGTAATGTTTCATTTTGTCGTATATGAATGGGTTGGTTCAGTGGCAACTCCCAGCAATTTGTTTATTTAATTTCACAGAACTATTTCCAAAATTATAATTAGAAAATGAAAAAGTAAAGTTGGCTGCTATCATCAAATGATAGAATGTACACAGATATTAGTTTCTATTGTATGTTAAATAGCTATATGCTATTGTTGTTGCTATATGCACTAGAAAATTTTTAATCTACATGTCAATATCAACATGCTTGTATATAGTACATATGTATATGACATACATATATAATTGAATATTTATTTTAAATCGAGAAACTTTACAGACTTTCAATATTATCAAAAAAGTTGGTAAAGAACCTTTCTGAATAAATACATTTTAATAACTAAGACAATTATATAAACGGGAGAGAGAAAATACTGTTATCATACTAGAAAATGCTACCTGATAAAAGTATAGAATCCCTTGATCAATTAATCTTTATCAGACCTAAATTTAGGAATTAAATCCCTAAAAAGATAATCAAATATGATATAAAATATGATTACAATTACAGACAGGAAAAAGTCTTTATATAATTCTACCATACACAATGGGAGGACAAAAAATGGATTTCAATAAGAGTTTTCATAATGATTTGAATTTTCATCTGATGTCATTCAATCATAAGTGAATATAACTGAGTTATCTAGCAATTTTCTTTTCTAATACACTTACGCTTGGGACTAATACATGGCAAAGATTATGAATATTTCATAAGTGAAAAAACTGAAAGAGAATATCAAAAAGCATAGATACCTATAGTAATTAAATATAGCAAACCTAAACTACATCTAATTACTCACAGCACAATTAATAGAAAACAGGAATATAATACAAGTGTATGCATACATGTAAATAATACCTACCCATGTGCCATCACCCCAAAACATGCTACAATAAATTATAGATTTTCAAGTTTGCGTTTGGGGAACTAAATTACTAGGGTTGTTGTTGTTGTTGTTATGTGCCGTGGAGTTGGTTCCAACTGGTAGTGACCCTGTACAGGGTTTTCTAGGCTGTAAATCTTTATGGGAGCAGAAATCCTCATCTTTCTCTCATGGAACAGCTGGTAGTTTTCGAACTGCTGACCGTGAGATTAGCAGCCTGATTCACAACCACTACGCTACCAGAGCTCCTTAAATTACTAGGGTAAATGGCCAAAATTTCCATTTCATTTGTTTTTGATTAATCTCTCCCAGTAAAAACGTTTGGGCTTTAATCTGGTGTATTCAAATAATTACAGAGAATTAAAGTTCTTAAGACATTATATTAAGGAGCTCTGGTAGCGTAGTGGTTACAAGTCGGGCTGCAAACCACAAGGTCAGCAGTTCAAAACTATCAGCTGTTTCGCGGGAGAAAGATGAGGCTTCCTGCTGCCATAAAGATTTACAGCCTCAGAAACCCTGTACAGGGTCGCTATGAGTTGGAACTGACTCCATGGCACATAACCACCACCACCACCAAAACATTATATTTGGTTCTTGTCTTAAAACTTGAATCAAACAGGAGAATTAATTTTATTAATTATCTACGCCAAAAAAACTAAGTTTTGACAACTTTAGATTGGTTCAATTAATATTTGAATTTTACGTTCAAAATACTGTGTAAGTAAGAAATGCCTGAGTTTAAAAAAAAAAAAAAAAACCAAGAATAATAAAGTTCCAAGTCAGTAAGTAAAATGGAAACCTAGAAATCAGAACAGGAGGGAAGGAAGAACGAAATAGGTTACATTACCATGGCTGGGTCAGTCAGGGCAGGAGGGTGAAAGGTAATGAGAGTTTCAAAAATGAAGTCTTTTTTGTCTCATGCACTAGATTATATTTTCTAGTCATCCCCCATCATGGGGTTTTTCTTTTATCTTATTAACAAGGTCATACCAGAGCAGGGTGCATCCTAAGCCTAACTGCTTCTGAGCTATAAAAAGAATAGAACAGACACTTCCCTTTATTAATTCAGAACTTCTCAACACTTCCAATTCTGCTGTCTTTGCTCAAACCATCATCTTCTATCACCTCAGATACTGCAATAGTCTCATTTTCCATCCTTGCACCCCTAAGGCATATTCTTGAAACAGCTGCCTCGGTGATCCATTTAATTCAAAAGTCACAGCATGTCATTCCTCTGTCATGACCCTCCATCCTTAGTGGCTCCCCATTTCATTCAAAGAAAAGACACAATCCTTAACTAGGGTACACAGGATTCCAAGCTTCATTTCCCCATTATTTCCCTAACCTCATTCCCTTTGTACACCCTTTGGCTGGAATGCTCCTTCGCAGGAAATATAGTTGGGTTTTGAAGACCGTAAATGAGGGGCATTCTTGTACTGTTGAAGGTAAAGCAAAGAGGCCTGAGTGGAGGGAAACGTAAAAGTGCAGTTTTGTTTTTTTAATTTTCAGGTTTAAAGAGAAAATAAAAAACAAGACTTCCTTTAATGACTTCACTCATGGTTCCTGAAAGTGCTCTCCAGGAGTCCTGGCAAATCTATTTTTCACGTGCAGAAAAGTATAATAGGACATGTACAATAACAAGAGCAACAATTTGTTTTAGCAAAGTGGAATTAATCCTTACATTCACTTATTGTCTAGACTTTACCTTTTCAAATTTTTCATTGGAGTACTTTTCCACTTACCATAGATGTAACTGATCGAGCATCTTCTTCATAATTTACTATTGGAGGTGGCTCTTTCCCATCATTTTCTTGCACTTTTTGCTCTAGTAGTTCTTTCTGTGCTGCAAACTTTGCCTCAGTGCATCTCAGCTGTTGGACTGATTGTTTCAGTTCTTCAAGTGTCTGTTTTTGACTCAGCAGAAGCACAATACTAAAAACAATAAATTAAACTCAAATTATTTCCATCTCTTTACATAACAATCCAACCAACTACCATCAAGTCCATTCTGACTCATAGTGGTGCTGGTTAGGGGTTCTGAGGCTGTGAATTTTTACGGGAGTAGAAAGCCTCATCTTTTTCCTATGGAGCAGCTGGTATATTTGAACTGTTGACCTTGGGGTTGGCAACCCAACTCACAACCCACTCTGCAACCAGGGTTCCTTAGTAATACTGTGTTGTTATTGTTAAGTGACATCAAGTCTACTCTGAATCATAGCAACCCTGTATAAGGTTTCCAAGAAGCACCTGGTGGGTTTGAAATGCTTACCTTGTGTCTTAAATGAACTTCTTTTGAAATATAAAGGAACACATTAAGCTGGCATATAAGAACAGATAGGGGAAAATAGATGCCATGCCACATGAGTTCTCCAAAGAACCAAGATACAGAAGCTGAAAAGAGACAAAACCTTCCCTGAGCTAACAATACGCCTTCCCCTTGGGCTGACATCCTGAATTCTGACTTCCTATGTCCTAAACTATGAAAAAGTCAATTTCTGTTTGTTAGTCACCAGGACTCCTGTTGTAGTACCGTAGAAACAGCACTGGATTGCAAACCACAAATTCGACTGGATTGCAAAGCACAAATTCGGCAGTTCACACCTGCCAGCTGCTCCTTAGAAACCCTATAAAGGGTCTTTATGAGTGGGAACTGACTCAACAGCATGTAACAACAACATTAAAGATAACTACCATGTGTGGTAAAAATGCATTTCATGCACATCTGCAGATCAATAAAGAAAAAGGTGAATGATTTCACAATTGTGAGCAAAATCAACAGATAACTATACTTAAAAAGAAAAATACTCTCAAGGCATTACTGTCACCAGATGTTGTTATTGTTGTTGTTAAATGTCCTCAAGTCCATTCTGACACATAGCAACCCTGTATGAGATTTCTGAGGAGCAACTGCTGGGTATGAACTGCTGAGTTTGCCATTAGCAGTCCAGGTACTTATGCCACAGTGCGCCCCCCAGGACACCACTGTTACCAGTAGTCCTTTACAAATAGATTTCATAAAAGCTTAGAAAAATAAAAAATTTAATAATGCAAAACAACAACAAACCTTTTCCTTTACCGATCTGCAGATGTGCATGAAAATGAATTTTTACCATACACGCTAGTTATCTTTGTTGTTGTTTTAGAAAAATTAAATAGAATATGGCCAACGGGCACAATGATGACAAAAAAGTAAATTTAAACTGAACATACAAACATCATTCAAAGAACATTTATTGAAGTGAGAAAAAACAACAACACGTTTTACTCTATCTTGTTGTTGTTGTTGTTGTTAGGTGCCATCAAGTCGGTACCTTATGCACTGCGGAACTAAACACTGCCTGATCCTGTGCCAACCTCACTACTGTTGCCACATTTGAGTCCATCGATGCTTCCACTTGGCCAATCCATCTCATTGGGGATCTTTTTCTCTGACCCTCCACCTTCCCAAACATGATATCCTTCTCCAGAGACTGGCCCCTCCTGACAATATGTCTGAAGTATGAGAGACAAAGTTTGGCCATCTTGGCCTCGAAGGAACACTCTGGCTGCACTTCTTCCAACACGGATCTATTGGTTCTTTTGGCAGCCCATGGCACTTTCAGAATTCTCTTCCAACACCATAACTCAAAAGCATCAATTCTTCTACGATCTTCCTTATTCACTGTCCAGCTTTCACATGCATATAAGGTTATCGAAAATACCATGACTTGGGTCAGGCGCACCTTAGTCCTCAAGCTGACATCTTTGCTCTTCAACACTTTAAAAAGGTCTTGTGAAGCAGTTTTGCCTAATGCAATACGTCCTTTGATTTCTTGACTGCTGCTTCCTGAGTATTAATAGTTGATCCAAGAAGAATGAAGTCCTTGACAACTTCAATCTTTTCTCTATTGGTAAGAAAGTTGGTTATTGGTCCAGTGGTAAGGAATTTTGTTTACTTTACATTAAGATGGAATCCATACTGAAGGCTGTGTTCTTTGATCTTCATCAGTAAATGTTTTAAGTCCTCTTCACTTTCAGCAAGCAAGGTTGTATCATCTGCATATCACAGGTTGTTAATGAGTCTTCCTCCAGTTCTGATGCCAGCTTCTTGGATTATCTGCTCAGCATACAGGTTGAATAAGTATCTTAAATCCTGTGATAAGCTGAATAATGCCCCTCCTCTCCAATAACTCCATTTCTTTTCCCCGATATGTGAATATGTCACCTCACAAGGCAAAAGGAATGGACTTTGCAAATAAGTTATTAAAATTAAAATAAAATAAAAGCTTCCTTAAAAGAGGGAAGCAAGAGGAGCAATATCAGAGAAGTTGATATAATAATAGAAATCATAGGAGACAAGGCAATGTGGCATGGGGCCAAATGCTAAGGACTGGGTGAAGCCTCTAGAAGCTGGAAAGAAAACCAAAGAAATGGGTGTTTCCCTAAAGCGTCCAAAAGGAACCAGCTTTATCAACTTCTGTTTTTGTTGTTGTTATGTCACACCAAGTCCATTCTGACTCATTGCCTCACAGAGACCCTGTATAGGATTTCCAAAGAGCAGCTGGTGGGTTTGAACTGCCAACCTTGTGGTTCACAATCCAGTTCTGATCCTACAGTACCACATCAGGAGTTGTTGTTGTTAAGTGCCATCAAGTCAGTTACGACTCATAGCGACCCTATATAGGGTTTCCAAGGAACACCTGGTGAGCTTGAACTGCCGACCCTGCAGTTGAAATCAACTTTGCCGAGAGCATCCTCATATCCAGGTTCTACTCTGGGAGAGATTGAACACTGCTGCACCTCCTATCATTGAGTTCAATAATATTACTTTTAGAGTCAAAAAATGAAATACTATGTTTATTAGACTAATAGGAATAAATCTCCATTTCACACATCCAAAGAATCTTATATGAGAAAACAGGCCAAGTATTCATTCTTTCATAAGATCCAAATCTAAGACAGACAATTTTCCAGCTGTTTGGTTTGTTTAATCATGGCATTAGCTGAGATGTTAAGGATGCAATTGTGAGTAAACACATAGTCCCTGCTCTCATAAAGCTTCAAGTGTAAAGCAAGAAAATAAAAAGTCTAAAAGTTAATGAAAAAATTACAACTTTCATATGTATTACAAAGAAGTAGTATTTTGTATCGTGTTGTGACTGTTGTTGCTGTTAACTGTCATCAGTTCGGTTTGGACTCATGGATTCCCAAGGTGGATCTGAACAGCCTACTTTGCAGTTAGCAGTCCAGTGCTTACCCTACAGTGCCACACCAGGACTCCATTTATACTGTAATAGGGTGTGTTTTGGGAGGGTGTTGGAGTGGGCTTGAGTTAATCTCAGAGGATAAGAGAAGGTTTTCTTGAGGAAGCAATGATTAAGCTAAAATCTAAAAGAAGAGCCAGCATTAACTGAGTGAAGGTGATGAGAGTGTACCGAGAAGGCTATTACAGCAGAGGATCATAATGTGCCTGTGGAGCACAGAGGATTCAAATAGGTATAAAAGATTGAAAAGGAGGCTGGTAATCAAGCTAGGACAATCTCTTTGATATCCCATTCAAGTAAAGTTTTACTAAATGTCATACAGAAACGACTTCAAGCAAACATTGGCAGAGAACTTCCAGAGATTAAAGCCAGATTCAGAAAAGGCCATGGAATGAGGGATATCATTGTTCATGTCTGATGGATCTTGGCTGAAAGCAGAGAATATCAG